TTCCACAAAAATCACGGGTTGTTTTTATTCTCACAGGGTCAGTGGGTCAGAACTTCAGTCCATGACTCGAGGCTCTGATGTCCTGTGTGCAAAAGGGCTTAGAGAACGCCTTTCATATTTGGTTAAAGTACAGGGTTGTGTAAATTGTGGTTGAGCCAACAGTATAATTGCATTACGGTAATAGCTCTCTGGCACTTGAAGACTGTAGGAAATTTCAGGCTCAAGAGATTGGGGCAAACAAGTTGATTTCCCAAACTGTACCTGGGTAGGAAATTGTCTGCTCTCCTGAATGTGTCAGCACACACGGGAAAGGGAGTATGATGGGTTTTTGTCCTTAGAAATGGATAGGGATAAGTGGGGTGTCCTTTATTTAAGTTGCCTTAATGAAGGAGTGCAGAGGCAAGGGGCACACCTGGAGGAAAGGCAGAACTGTAGTTGCCTTTGAGTTTGCAGGAACCAGTGAGATGGATCTGTCAAAAAGTTAATGAACCTGGGGATAAAATAGTGTGCCTAGAGTGTGGGTACAGAAACCACTGCAAGGAACTCTGCACCAGTCAGGGGCTCAGATGCCTCCAGGGAGCTGCAGTCCTGGTACCTACCATTTTCTGAGAGCTTTTTGTGTTCCAAGCCTTGGTCTCAGCATCAGTCACAATGGTTCTTGTACCAACTGATGTGGTTCTGTCTGCAGCAAGTGTGAGGCTGGGGAGAGCAGAGTGTGTGCTTGCCTGAAGATTGGAAACCCTGTGTGGCCACCCTGCAACTTTGGGTTGGGCCAGATCTATCGCTTTTTCAAGAAAAGCTGGAAACCATATTTTTCAGGGAAACACTTTCTTTTTTAGTTTTGCCAGGCAGGCAGGCAGGTGAGTAGTTGGGAGCCATCAGTCCTGGATTGTGAGAGGGATGTCCCAGATTGGAGAGGGTGCGGGCTGGGCACTTGTTATGCCAGGCTGGGGCCTCCTAAGAGGTTCTCGGGAGCAAGCAATTGTCAGTTGCTGTCCCTGCCTGGCCTTTGGTAACCTGTCCGAAGCCCCAATCTGCCCCAAGCCTTCTGGCAGGTGGGGCCTCTGGACCCCAAGGGCTGGGTCTACCTGGGGTTGCGCCCCTTGAATGTCCCCTCTCTGAGTTGCTCTCCCTTCTCCCACAGAACTGCACTCTGTGGAGGCAGTTTAATCAGACTCAGATTGGAAATAATAACCTTAACCTATAGCCAGGGTTGTGGGTGCTTCTCCTTTCCAGGGCTGAGCTGGCTGAACTCCTGGGCCTGCTTCCCCACTATGCAGCCATAGCTTCACACGTCTGTCTATCTCCAGATAGACACCCATCTGAAAGACAGTCTCAACACCTCAGCTCTGGCTCCCTGGCACCCCTTGCTGGGTATAGGGGATAAAAAAAAAATCAGCTCTGCTTGGCACTCCATTCTCTTGCATGGCCAGCCTGGTGCTGGGCAGAGCCTCTAGCCAGGCTCCAACTGGGCCAAATATCCAAGACCTGTGCACTATCATACTGAACAGTACGGGTTCCGATTCCCAGCCCAGCACTGCTCCCCTTTGCCTTGGATCACAGGATGGGGCAGACCGAAGAGCTTTGCACATGGTGGGGGGAGTGTCACCATGTTTTCTCAGTGGGCGAGACCAATCCTCTTTCCTAAGCCACAGAGACCAACCCCTGGCTGGTTCTCTGCCCAGAATTCTTCCAGAGAATAGAGGGCCCCTCAGTGTCACTTTTGGGTGTACCAATCAGACCCCTCTGCCCGCCCCAAGCTCTGCTGCTCGGCTCTAGTAGTCTTCGATTGGAGTGAACTTTTCAGGCTGGTGTTGTAATATAGAAATCACCCTTTGCCTGGTATGGTGCAGTCTGGGTCTCCTAGGTGTGCTGAATCCCCAGTGATTTCCACTTTCAACACTACACAGGCTCCCCCGCCCTTCCCTTGTCACTCTGGATTGGGGATACTTGTGTGGGGCTGAGACCCTACACTTCCAGGGGATGGGGCTGCGCTGCTGCAGTTTCCCTTTTGCTTCCCAGTTGTGTACCTGTGCAAGTTGGCTCACCCTTTCCCCATCTCCTTCTATCTTTCCCCTGAGTTCCCTTCTCTCAGTGTTTCAGATCAGCTACATGTCTGTCATCTGTGTTTTTCTGGATGAACACTCTGCAATTTAGCTACAAGTCTGGTTTGGTGTTGGGAGCAAGCGGATGAAGCTTCCAGCTACTCTGCAGCCATCTTCCAGAACTTTTCAAGAGAGGCTAGCTGATGTTAGCCAGTGGGGTGTTGATAGATTTCTCTCACTGGGGAGGGAGTTAGATAAAGTTGGTGGTGACCAGTTAATTGCACCATTAAGAGGGTATTGCCTAGATCTCTGGCAAGGATGGGCCATGTGGGACACAGGTCATCATCCCAGACCTCTGGTTGCCTTTCTAATTATAAGCACTGTTGCCTTCAGTCCTGGCTTGACTTTTCTTTCCTTTCTTTCTTTCTCTTTCCTCCCTCCCTCCCTCCCTCCCTCCCTCCCTCCCTCCCTCCCTCCCTCCCTCCCTCCCTCCCTCCCTCCCTTCCTTCCTTTTCTTTTTTTTGAGATAGTGAGCATTTTACCATTGTATGAAGGAGCAACCAAATATTTAAGCAGGTGTCACAAGCTTTGATTCAGATTACCACTAAATTTAAATTAAAAAGATGGAAACTACAGTGTGGTAAAGGAAGTTAACTGCAGGAATCTAAGACAAATAACAGGATTCTGTTTTATGTAGAATCATTTTAGGCATGTCGAAACCGGTTTGGCTCAGTGGATAGAGCATCGGTCTGTGGATTGAAAGGTCCCGGGTTTGATTCCGGTCAAGGGCATGTACTTTGGTTGCGGGCACATCCCCAGTAGGGGGTGGTGCAAGAGGCAGCTGATCGATGATTCTCTCATCAATGTTTCTAACTCTCTTCCTCTCTAAAAAAATCAATAAAATATATTTTAAAAAAAGAATCATTTTAGGCAAGGAAAAGATAATATAGCTCTATGGTGACATTGCACAATGCAGCTTCCCCCAAGCGATTGTTCCTCTGCTAGGATGGGAAAGGGTGATTACATCAGCCTCCTTTATGGACAGGGACCCTACTAGAATGCCACGTGGTCAGCACTCACCTCTGACAGGCACCTATCTTTACCATTTGTCTCTCTTTAGGGAGTCTGCTTTTTTTTTTTTTTTTTAAGAAAAAAGTATTTTTATTGATTTCTTTCAGAGAAGAAGGGAGAGAGAGATAGAAAACATTAACAATGAGAGAGAATCATTAATCAGCTGCCTTCTACACACCCCCCCACCCCTTCCGTACTGTGGATCCAGCCTGCAACCTGGCCTTGATTGAGAATCAAACTGTGACTTCCTGGTTCATAGATCGATGCTCAACCATCGGCCAGGCAGGGATTCTGCTTTTAAAAGAACCACACAAAGTCTTTGCTGTCATTTTTACTTATAAGTAGTTATTTCCATTGTGTTGAAAGACTTTAGGCCACTTAAAGAAAACCACTTGAATCCTGGCTGGGTGACTCAGTTGATTGGAGCATTTCCCATACACTAAAAGGCGGTGGGTTCGATTCCTGCTTGGGACACATACTCATATTGCAAGTTTGATCCCTGGTCAAGATGTGTACAGGAGTCAACCGATCAATGTTTTCCTCTCATATTAATCTCCCTCCCTCCCTCTCCTTTTTTCCCTCCCTTTCTCCTTCCCTTCCTCTCTCTATCTCAAATAAATATCCTTGAGTGAGGACAAAAAAAAAAAAAAAAAAAGAGAGAGAGAAAATCACTTGAGTTACGGATTGTTCCAGCTTCTGTAGTGGCAGTTTGCACAGTTGAGTCATTGACTTTAAAAAAAAAAAAAATACACCTTTTTTATTGATTTCAGAGAGGAAGGGAGAGGAGAGAAATAGATAGAACCATCAATGATGAGAGAGAACCATTGGTCAAGCCCACAACCTGACCAGGAATCGAACCAGGGACCTCTTGGTTCATGGGTTGATGCTCTACCACTGAGCGACACTGGCTGGGCTGTTTTTTTTTTTAAACCTTTCTGAGATATAATTCACATATCATAAAAATCTACCCATTTAAATTGTTTAATGGTTTTTAGTACAGTCACAGAGTTTTGCAATAAACATTACAATCTAAGTTTAGAACATTGTCATTACTGTTAACCTTTCAAAAAAATTGAGGTAAAATTTATATAAAATTACCTTCAGAGTGTACAGTTCAGTGATGTTTAGTGTTGGACAATCACTAGCTCTCTAGTTTCAAAACTTTTTCATCACCCCATAAGAACACCTTATTCCTATTAAGTAATCACTCCCCATTTCCCCTTCCCACCATACTGCGTGTTGCTGCTTTGAATCCATGCACCAGGAAATAGTGGCTTTTGGGAAACACTTGTCTTCTCTGTGTCTCCCTTTATTGCAAGTCTTTTTAAAAAAATATATATATTTTATTGATTTTGTACAGAGAGGAAGGGAGAGAGATAGTTAGAAACATCGATGAGAGAGAGTCATCGATCAGCTGCCTCTTGCACACCCCCTACTGGGGATATGCCCGTAACCAAGGTACATGCCCTTGACCGGAATTGAACCCGGGACCCTTCAGTCCCCAAGCCGACGTTCTATCCATTGAGCCAAACCAGTCCCCGCTATTGCAACTCTTTATTCCCAGTACTTTTTGTGTTCATCAATGCTGTGCAGTTTTCCTTCTTTAAAACTGCCAGAGGACTCAAGATACAGCCTATCTTACTCTCTGGAAAATAACTGATAAGAGTGCCTCACACATTTGGGGGAAAAAAGAAACAGCAGAAGCATGTTTGCCAGTCCTGGTAAACAGTACTGAAGTTTCATCACATGCCATAGACGTCAAGGGCCTCGTGGTGGGGACACTGGGTGAGAGGCTCGCCCCTGCTGAAAGGACTTTAAAACCAGCCGAGCTGGTCACTGTCTGCGCCTCTGCTGATGCCTTTGTATGTATTTCGTTTCTGGCAGCTCCTTTAGCGGCCGAGTTTTCCGAGTGACCTTTCTGATGCTGGCTGTTTCCTTCACTGTTCCCCTGCTGGGAGCCATGATGCTGCTGGATTCCCCCATAGACCCAGAGCCTCTCAGGTGAGCTGCCCCAGCAATTTTTGGGAGAGATTGCTCAGCAAAATATCTAGGCTGGGATGATTTCTAGAGTAACTAAACCAGTCTGATCCGAAAGGTAAGTTATTATGAGAAATAGAAATTTGTGATTTTTTTTTTGCCTCCATTTTATGTAGAATTAGATGTTTCACAGGATATATGCATGGTATTGCCCATGTTATTGTTTCAGAAATAAAACTTTACAAACCAAAAACAAAAATCAGGAAAACCCTAAATAAGAGAAGCTTAAGTATTAGACACAGTCTGAATTCATATAAAGGGGCAAAGGCACACACACAAACAAAGGTTAAATTTAAGTTACCTTGTTTAAGTTTTATAAATAACTTATTTAAAAAAAAACAACGTGTAATTAGCCACCTCTTTTTCCTAAGTTCCCTTGCATCTTTGGGGATCTGTGAATAATGCAGTCCATTATAACTTGAAAAAATAGTATACACCTGGGGAGTCCCATGAAATGTATTCACATTTTTAATTATAGTAATACTGAGCCAGGCTCCTATTGATGTGATTGATGATGATGATGTCCATGGTGGTGTAAGAGGGTTGTGCAGTCTGGTTCAATAAGTTTCTTTTTCCCTTGCAACTGCCTAGAGGGTTGAGCTTTCTGAGGTTTATTTTAACTGAGCTAGGTAATGTAAGATTTTAAAAACTTTAGAAAGAACCACATCTTACTATAAAGTAAATATAATGTATATAACTGTATAATGTGTTGGTATTTTGTAAATAAAATTTAAGGTTTTATATTGAATTCAGTTTACTAAAAACATTCAGCACTAGTATGCTAGAGGCGGGTATCAGATACAAAGAACTTACATTGACATATGTGTAGAAGAGTTAACTTTTTGTTATTGGATTTAGAATTGGTAAAGGTACATGGTGTAGTTAAAACACACGTGGTTTGCATAAGATTGAGAATGGGGGAGGCTGGACAGTATAGACCTATAAGTATGTTTGCTCTATAATTCCTGGTGTGCCAGTGTTTCCTGACACATGCCTTCCTCCCAAGAGCATGCTGGGTGTTCTCTCTAAGGGGATTCTGTGACACTTTGAGGGGAGGAGCCTCTTTCTTGCTAACCTCTCTCAACATGTGGAAGGATATGGCTCAGCCCACCCCAAATAGAAACTGACCTATTTGGTTGGCAAGGTGAGAAAATGAACTGTGTCCACAGTGGGGATCAAAGTCTGGGCTGGAGAGCTAGTCTTGGGAAAGAGGAGGAAAGTGGAGAGAGCAGGTAAAGATGGAGTTTCCGAGTTGGAGTGGGAAGGATGGAGCTTAAGTGACTGAAGACCTTTAATCTCCATAAATGTGAAGTTAGATGTGGAAAGAGTGGTAAAGAATTTCAGGGGACTGGTATGTATTCATGCCCAGCAACTGAAAGGAAACATGGCCCAAGAAGGATCTGATGTTGTGTAAGTGAGTCCTACCTGTGGAGCAGCTGGGCCTGATGAGGAAGAAAGGAGAAACTCATGAAATTGCTGTGGTGGACAGGATCTCTCCCACAGACTCAGATTCGGGAATGACTTACTCACAAATTGGAAGCATGGGCCCCAAAGTGCAGAACAAAAGCAGAAGAATGGCAGGGATTGTAAGAACAGAAATAAACCGAGGTTTGGGGAAAATGCTAATGACAACAGCAAAAAAGCCATTTAAAAAGTCTCTTCAGAGCAAAAGGAGCAAGGAAGGGAGAGACCCACTGAGTGAGTGAGGACAGTCATCTCCCAACCAAGGGGGTGCCATGGTCAATGGGATCAGCCCAACTGGCAGGGTGGGAGGCCAGCAATAGCAGCGCTTTGGGGAGTCTACTTCTGTTATCAGATGAAGTGGGGGGTCCTCTTCCCCATTGGGTGCTGCTGGAGGTGGAGTCCTTATGATACCCCAAGAAAAAGAATTTTCTGATACTCTCAGAGGAGAACAAGTGATTTTTATTTGTGTAGAGTTAAATTCCTGGGTTTCCAAAGTTCCATTTCCCTCAGTTCAGTCATAGCAGAAGTGTCGCTGGGGTTTCAGTAAACCTAGAAACAAAGCCAGTGTCCAGAGTTCCCATTCCATGTTGCAGCTGGGTCCAATAGAGCTTTAGGCTGGCTGCAGTCCATTAGTCCATGGTACATGGGTGAATGCAGGAAAGTGCACTCCAAGCAACCAAACTTCCAAGGGTCCTGAAAGCACAAAAGAGCAAATTTCTTGGATCAGGGGATTAAATATCCCAAATCTTTGATCCCTTGCAATGGTCACGCCCACACTGGCCTACCAGATGTGTCTCCAGATGTGATTAACAGCAAGCTACTTCCCTGTATCACCCCAACTTTATTGGGCACAGGTCTAACTTCCTTGTCCAAGCCCCTGGAGGAATGTTAAGTTGTAGCTTCCTGGCAAAGCTGTCCAAATAACATGCTTTTAAGGGCTGGTTTTCCCCTTTGCTCCTTTTCTGTTATTTTTCATCATCATTTAAGAAATCTTTATTTTTTAAATAAATCTTTATTGTTCAGATTATCACAGTTGTTCCTCTTTTTTCCCCTCCATAGTTCCCCTCTACCCGGATCCCACCCCACCCTCTGCCCTTACCCTCCCCACCCCCCACTGTCCTCATCCATAGGTGTATAATTTTTATATATATTTATTGATTTTACACAGAGAGGAATTGAGAGGGATAGTTAGAAACATCGATGAGAAAGAAACATCGACCAGCTGCCTCCTGCACATCCCCAACTGGGGATGTGCCCGCAACCAAGGTATGTGCCCTTGACCAGGATCAAACCCGGGACCTTTCAGTCTGCAGTCTGATGCTCTATCCACTGAGCCAAACCAGTTTCTGCCATAGGTGTCCAATTTTTGTCCAGTCTCTTCCTGCATCCCCCACACCCTTCCTTCTTCCATACCTCTCCCCTCCCCCCAGAATTGTCAGTCCACTCCCTTTCTATGCCCCTCATTCTATTATATTCACCAGTTTATTCTGTTCATCAGATTTTTATTCATTTGATTTTTGGATTCACTTGTTGATAGATATGTATTTGTTGTTCATAATTTTTATCTTTACCTTCTTCCTCTTTTAAAAAAATCCTTTCAGCATTTCATATAGTACTGGTTTGGCAGTGATGAACTCCTTTAGCTTCTTCTTATCTGTGAAGCTCTTTATCTGACCTTCAATTCTGATTGATAGCTTTTCTGGGTAGAGTAATCTTGGTTGTAGGTTCTTGCTATTCATTACTTTAAATATTTCTTGTCACTCCCTTCTGGCCTGCATAGTTTCTATTGAGAAATCAGCTGACAATCATATGGATGCTCCATTGTAGGTAACTAACTGTTTTTCTCTTGCTGCTTTTAATATTCTTTGTCTTTTGCTCTTGACATTTTAATTATGATGTGTCTTGGTGTGGTCCTCTTTGGATTCCTTTTGTCTGTGGTTCTGTGTGCTTCCTGGACTTGTAAGTCTATTTCTTTCACCAGGTGGGGGAAATTTTCAGTCATTATTTCTTCAAATAGGTTTTCAGTATCTTGCACCCCCATAATTCTGATGTTGGTATGGAAGTCCCAGAGGCTTCTTACACTATCTTCATATTTTTGGATTCTTTTTGCTTTCTGCTTTTCTGGTTGGGTGTTTTTTGCTTCTTTGTATTTCAAATCTTTGACTTGATTCTTGCGATCCTCTAGTCTGCTATTAGATCTCTATGTGGTATTTTTTATTTCAGTCAGTGTATGCCTAATTTCTAGTTGGTCCTTTTTTATATTCTCGAGAGTCTCACTAAGTTTATCGGTCTTTTTAAGAAAATTCTTGAAAAATCTTATAACCGTGGTTTTGAACTCTATAATCCAGTGTTTTGCTTTCCTTCATTTCTTTCATTTGTGACCTGTTTTTTTTTTTTTTTTGTCTCTGCATTTTGGCTGCTTCCCTGAGTTGATAGAGTGGCTTTGTGTGCTAGGTGTTCTATAGGGCCCAGTGGCTCAGCCTCCCCAGTTACCCGAGGTGGACACTCTTGGTGCACCCCTTTGTGGGCTGTGTGCACAATCTTGTTGTAGTTAAGCCTTGATTGTTGTTGCTATTACTGGGAGGAATTGACCTCCAGGCCTATTGGTTGTGAAGATCAGCTATGTCTAGGTGGGAGAACTTCTATGCTGGAGACTCCCTTATGAGACAAGACTTGCTTCAGTGGGGCTTTGGTGTTCACTGAGGATGTCCTTTATGGATCTGAAGAGTTGTAATCTGGATGGTCCCACTCTGACCCCTGGGTACACTGCTCTTGAATTTCCAAGGAGGTGCTAATTTAGCCTCTGCGTGAGGCCACCCAGCAGAAGCTGCGGAGATATCTGTAGATTCTTCTCTTTGTTTGGGTTTTTGAGGTGCCCAGATGAGGCCCAGCTGTGAAGCAATGCAGCTGCTGCAGGCCCTTGGACCTCCTTTTGGATGTTATGGGTCTCACTGACTCAGCTGCAGTCTGTTAGGTAAGTTTAGAATTCAATGGACCAATGCATTCATATGCAAAAGCCTCTGCGCTCAGCTTGGATGGGGCGGAGTCTCAGGGTGGAGCAACCACCAATGGTTTCCCGTCAGCCCTGCCCTATGAGGTCCCTGGGTCTCAGTGTCCCGCGGTAATCGCTACAAGTACCTCTGAGAGAAAGCCACCCTCAAGTTTCGCACACTGCCAGACAGTCCAGTTTCTCCCAATATGAGTCTGGGTCTCCAGAGTCTTGCCTGGAATTGGAGTTCAGAGCAGCCTGGAGCTTTTGTTTCCCTCTCACTTGAAAAAGACAGCTGTGTACTCTGTTGCCAGCCCTCTCCACGCACGTGCCTCTGTACCTCTGCCTTCTGCAGCTTCTGTGAGTCTCAGTGTGCTTTTCTCTTTCCTTCTAGTTGTAGAATTTCCACTTAGCCAGCTTCTCTGTGGTCCTGGATGATGTCTGTTTTGTCTTTTAGTTGTAGTTTTGAAATTGTTGTGGGAAGCAACAGTTGAGGTATTTACCTATGCCACCATCTTTGTTTCTCCTCCTTTCCTGTGATAATAACTAGGTTAATTCCAATGGTATCACTTTCAGGGTGCTCAGTGACCTCTGTGTGAGCTTAGACAATAGCTAGAAATCTCTGAGAAATCCGAGGATAGTCAGACCAGGGGCAAGGAAGGGTGGAAGGTTATTAGGCAGGTAGTTTCAGTTCTAGAGAGTCAAGTCGCCTGGAAGGCTGCAGGGCTTTGGCAGCACCCTCAATTTTCTCTTGGGAAGATTGGAGGCCTGTTACAAACACAACAATGTGACATTCTGATTTCTAGAGGATGTTGACCAGTATCTTTCAGCATTCATTTGGCACATGGAGTTAGCAGGAATTAGTGGGGATTAATATGAGTTTAACAGGAGTTTAATGAGTTAACAGAAGGTCAATGGCCTTAATCAGAGTCCACATAGTCTGGCTGGCTGTGAGTGTTGATTTGGGCTTCCTGGGGCCACTCTTTCTTGGCACTTCTGCTGTCTGATGGGACCCTCTTTTGCCCATCCTTTGCATTTCCTTAGATGAGTGTTCTTCTTGTCTCCTTATTGAGATAATCCTCAGGCTCATTGTGGGTAGGGACAGTGTGTGATTTACTGATGAGTTTGATTCTGCAAATATTTCCAGAGGACTTCCTGTGTATAGGAAATTAGGCAAGGTCCAAGGACTGGGTGAGAGGGCTGATGTCAGGTGTACCCTTCTTTATCCCTGGGTTTTATGGATGTATCAGCATTATTCAATCTTCACATATACCGTTGGGAAGTATGACCTCTACAAGGTCAGAATTTGAAAGCCCAACTCTATAGCCAGGCTTTTTTCACCAAGTATGCAGGTTGCAATCCTACCCTTCCTTTGGAACTAAAACTAGTAAAGTTAAGAATGTTTTTTTAAGCAGGTTGAAGGTCATATTTGGGGAAGCGGAGCAATTTATTTGGGGGGAAATTGTATTGTGGCCTGCAGAGGTGCCTCAGAAGGGGTGGCAAGGTGAAGTACATCATTCCACATCCTCAGCTACCACCTCTCCCTTGGTTCTCCCACTCTGGTTGCCTGGCTAAGAATCTGCCTTGGTGGAGGGCCGGGTGGGTAGGGAATTAGGAGATAACCACCCCTTCCCATGCTCCTCACCCTCTCACTCCTATAGTTCTCATTGGGAGCCTCCTGTGTGCCAGGTGCTTAGGGTACAGCAGCAAAAAACACAGGACAAATCCCTGGTCTTATGTGCTCGGGTGCGGATAGACTGACAATAAACAACAGAAGTGAGAAGCTGAAAAGGGTTAGAATGAGGGGAGCTGTGCTTTTGGGGGTGCTGTTAAATATTAAATTGGATGGTCAGAGCAGGCCTCACTGAGAAGATGAGGGTGGAAGGACTTAGGATGGAAGATGCCTGGTACAGTCAAGAACCAACAGGGAATGGCTGGTGTAGAGGGGCAGAGTGAACTACTGGGAGAAGAGGAGAGAGAGGTGACAGGCAAGATGGTGTAGAGCTAAGAGCCACAGCAAGGACTTAGACTCTGGGTGAGATGGGGCTGTCACAGGGCTATAAGCAGATAAATGCTGTGATCAGACTGTTGTGCTCAGATGGGCTGCAGGGTTGAGAATAGACTGTAAGGGACAGGGAGGAAGCAGGGAAGAGAAGATGGTGGCCTGGACCAGGGTGGTAGCGATGGACATGGGTCAATGATGTCTGCCTTTTTGAGGTGGCATCAGCATGGTTTGCTGGTGGATTGGGAGAAAGCGTATTTGAATGTGGGTTGGAAGACTCTAGGAAGAGGGCAGAGTTCTGGAAGCCCATTCTGAGTGAAGGGAGGGAGATAGGGCTCAGTGGAGGCTGTCTTCAGAGAAGTCAGGTGAATCCTGAGGGGAGGCTTATATTGGACGATGGGGAAGCAGAGCCAGTTCCTGGACTGCTTCCTCTCGTTTCTTCTGTCTTCTCCATGAAGCAATGTCATAAATTGTGAGAGGTCGACAGGACTCCCTCCATCTCCATTGGACTTTAGTGGGAGGGCAACCATTGGGAGTATAAATGCCAGGGTGTGTGAATCAGAGCGTGTGAGAAGGTCTAACCTGCTATGAGGCATTGAACCAGTGATGAGAAGTTCAGGTGAGTGGAGGCCTTCGGGTGCTCTTAGATGGCAGGCGATTGCAAAAGTTCTTGCATTAGCTGTATTTATATTTTCACTTTTATTTAATATTATGATCTTTACTAATACCCTAGGACAGTTTTTTTTCTTAACCTTTGTGTTTCTGGAAAAAACGGATATTATTGGAATGAACCCTCTTTATCAAATGGAATTATGCATGTCATAGATCCTCAGTAAATAGGTTCTAAATGTATTTTCTTAGACAGATCCCTATAATTGCACTATTTTGCAGCTTCAAAGAACCCCCTCTCTTGCATGGTGTTCTGCAACCAAATACGAAGTTACGACAGGCGGAAAGACTATTTGAAAATCAACTTATTGGGCCAGAGTCCATAACAAATATTGGGGGTAAGTAAACCCCCCGGAGGCTGTCTGTTGCTTGAATGGGGGCTTTGTAGGAGTAGCCACCCTGGAGGAGCTTTCGACCTCGTTAGCTGTGGATGTGGGATGTGCATGTGCTTGTTGAGCAGGCACCCCGTGGGAGCATCTGGCTCTCAGAGTTGTGGGCCATTTTAGTCCTGGGTGATTTGAGTTCACGTCTATGGAATACTTTATTCTACTCAAAGTATATGACCCATTAAAATGGAAGGAAAAATGAAAAATGCAGACATTGATGTTTAGTTTATTTGTCAAAGCTAAGTATTTCTTGACAGGACATTATTTCTTAGCTTGGTTTCTCTTTGTATTAAGATTTGGAATCTGTCAGTGAAAGATAAATACCACATGATCTCACTCATTTGTGGAATATAAAGAACATTATAAACTGATGAACAAAAATAGATACAGAGGCAGAGAAGTATCGAATAGACTGTCAAATTACAGCAGGAAGACTAGGGAGGGCGGAGTAGGGGGGGGAAGGTAAGAGATCAACCAAAGGACTTGTATGCATGCATATAAGCACAACCAATGGACACAAGACACTGGGAGTGTGGGGGAGAGGGGTATGTGCCAGGAGTTAGGGGGGGCTGGGAGGAGGTCAATGGGGAAAAAAGGAGACATATGTACTACTATTTGTAATACTTTAAACAATAAAATAAAATTTTAAAAAAGATAAAGGAAAAGTTGCTATACTTAAAATGGTGTGAAGATTTCTGAGCAACTGAACTAAGCATTCTGCTCCTCATTCCAAAGTCCAGTATGTTTTCTGCGAAGTACTTGTGGACATTGCATTGGGGGTGCTCCTCTTGTTTTGAAGGCAGGTCAGAGCCGCTTCTCACATGACATTCACCGCTTGTCTTTTCCAATCCTGCTGTTTGATGCAGGTGCCCAAGACTGTGCATTACCCCCTCTTCGCCCCGAGTATATTTTCATTGATTTCAGAGAGGAAGGGAGAGGGAGAGAGAGAGAAACACCAATGATGAATGTGAATCATTGATTGGCTGCCTTCTGCACATCCCACACTGGGGATCAAGCCTGAATCTGGCCATGTGCCCTGACCAGAAATCAAACCGTGATCTCCTGATTCATAGGTCGACACTCAACCACTGAGCCATGCTGGCCAGGCAAGACTGGTGTATTTTTGCAATTGTTTGACTTACAAAGACAAAATTGTTTCAAGGGTGATAGGTACTTCATGATAGAATTTTATATTTCCTCTAAAAAGATATTGTTTATTATTAATACATTTTTTACAAGTTTTGTGGGTTTTGGGGGGGGGGGAGAAAAAAATCAAATATTGGAAATCAAATCTGGAACTGGGAGGATGTTTTTTTAAACTTTCAAAGAGAATACTTTTCTTGCTTTCCCCCTTTTCACTTGGGCTAACATCTCATTGTATTCTGTCACCAGATAAAGGAGCTGGTTATCTTCTTGGTGATAGTTCTGGTTAGGTACAGAGGGGCCTATCTAGTTAGCTTCTTGCAAGTGTGAACCCCTGCTCTGACCATCCAATTTAATATTCAATTTAATAAAACTCGCTGCTGCTGCCTCACTTGGAAGTTATCCTGAGGGATGGCTGGTATATTGCTGACATTGGAGGGAGGCATCAGTCCCAGGAGGTACTTAGTAATCAATCACCAATTAATGTGTTTTAATATAAAAAAATAGGCTTTATTTTTTTTAGAGCAGTTTTAGGTTCACAGTAAAATGAAGAGGAAGAACAGAAATATTCCACATACCCCTTTTGCCCACATATGCAGCTTCCCCCATTATTAGCATTTCAAAGCAGATGGTATATTTGTTACATTAACACATTATCATCACCCAAAGTTCATAGTTTACGTTGGGGTTCACTCTTGGTGTTGAATATTCTGTGGTTTTGACAAATGTATAATGACATGCATTCATTATTTTAGTATCATACAGAGTAGTTTCACTGTCCTAAGAAATCCTCTGGGTTCTGCCTAGTTATCCCTCCCTCCCCTCAATTTATTCTGGCAGCCACTGATCTTTTTACTGCTTTTATAGTTTTTATATTCTAGAATTTTATATAGTTGAAATCATACAGCATGGAGCTTTTCAGATTGGCCTCTTTCAGATAGTCATATACATTTAAGGTTCCTCTATGTCTTTTCATGTCTTCATAGCTCTTTTTATTCCCGAATAATATTCCATTTCCTAGACATATTACAGTTTATTTATCTGTTCACTGATTGAAGGACATCTTGGTTGCTTCCAAGTTTTGGCAATTATTAATAAAGCTGTTATAATTATTTACATGTAGATGTTTGTGTGGATATGTTTTCAACACATCTGGGTAAATGCCGAAGATCATAGTTGCTAGATCTTGTGGTAGGAATATATTTCATTTTGTAAGAAACTACCAAACTGTCTTCCAAAGGGGCTGTCTTGAAGTCATGTGTGACAGTCCTCTGTTCTTCAGTATAGTGTGGCTATTCTGGATCTTTTGCTTTTCTATATTTAAACTTTATAATCAATTTGTAGATATGTATATACATACACATTAAACATATCTTCATGGAGAATTGATCCTTTATAGTTATAATGCCATTTTCCCCCCTTGACTACTTCCTTGCTCTGAAGTTGGCTGTCTGAAATTAATAGATTTTGTTTTGTTTAGTGTTAGCATAATACACCTTTCACCAGTCCTCTGTTTTCAACTTACATGTGTCTTTATATTTAAAGTGAATTTCTTACAGACAAGGTATAGTTAAGTACTTTTTCTTTTAAATCTACTCTGACTTAAAAGTCTCTGTCTTTTACTTGGCATGTTGAGACCATTGATGTTTAAAGTACAGATTGGTGCAGTTGGTTAGTAGCTACCATATTTGTTACTGCTTTCTATTCATTGAGCTTATTTTTTGTTCTTAAGTTTGTCTTCTACTCTCTACCTTTTGTAGTTTTTATGGTTCATTCTATTTTCTGTTTTTTCTTAGCATATTTTTTTAGTGGTTGCCCTAGAGTTTATAATAAGTATTTAAAACGATGTAATGTTTCGTGAATTTGCATGTTGTCCTTCTGTGTGGCCTTGCTAATCTCTGTATTTTTCTAATTTTATGTATGTGCTGCTGAAGTGAGCACCTGTTATGCTTTAATCTTATCCTGAGGGACCTTCTAGAAATTTTTCTCTTTAAGTTGGATCTGATCACCTCAACAGCAGACGCTGATGTGAGGCAGACATGACCATGTGCCCCTGAGTGCTAACTCATGAGCCTGTACTCTTCTGAAAGGAGAAAATTCTCATGGTTTTATCACTGCCTGGTGTCTGCTGCACCCTTGCTTCAGTGTTAGGTTCAAACCCACAGGCAGATGCCTCAAAACCCCACAATTTTACTGCTGCACATTTTAAGGACTTTTTGTTCCTAGATATCACTTCTCCTTCATCTTCAGAAATGCCTTTTTTTCCTCTGGAGATGAAAATGACCAATAAGCCACATATGCTTTAGAAGAAGGTAATATGATCACAGTTCTTAGGCGACCCAGTAACACTCTTATTCTTTTTATTTTTTTAAACAGATGTGATGTTTACTGGTACCGCAGATGGCCGGATCATAAAAATTGAAAACGGTGAAATAGAAACCATCGCCCGGTTTGGGTCAGGTCCATGCAGTAAGTCAGTCACAGTCTTCCTCATGTATGTCTCGTCCTGTCATTCAGAAAGTGCCAAATGGCCTGTGTAAGTCAGGTTCACCCTCGGAGAAAAAGAGCCCTGATCATCTGGAGATAGGCTGGTCTGGGTGTCATCAGCTGCTCTTCATTTGCTGGTGATCCTTGGACCTCATGGTGCCTGGTTGTCACCCTTCATTGCAGTTTCCCAGTGAGGCAGTGGCCATGGCACCTGCTGCTTACTCTTAGCTCCATCTCTCTCCATTCTGCAGAGGCCCATGCTCACTTTTAAGGTAACTTGGAAATAAATAGGTTTGTCGGAGTGCTCCCATAGCAAAGCAGTCAGCTTTGTCATTACTTGGATACTTAAATGTGATTTCTGCATTAGCTCCTTAGGAATTTCAGCAATGTCATTCAAAGTGAAAATACCCTAACATCATTCAAATTTTAGAAAACTAGAGTAGAAAAATCTTACTCTTTAAACACTGATAGTCCTGACTTCTTCTTCTTATCACTTTTTATTAGCTGAAAAAAAAATTTTTTTAAATGATGCATTTTCATTGTGAAATGCAAGCATCACAAAAGTACAAAGAAGAAAGTAAAAATCACCCCAGAGTCTTCTTAGGTGCAGTTGTTATTAACATGTTAGTTAATCACTTTTCAGATATCTTTCTGCTCATGGATATTCCCAGCCACCCATGGCTATATGGGGTGGACTCATTCATTTGGTTCTTTAACCTGCCTTTTTCCACTCCATATTTTGGCTGTAAGTGCCCTCTGATAAGCACCCTGCAGCAAGCACCCCTCCTGCTGTAACTGCCTCTGCAGTGAACACTCTGCAGTAAGCACCTTGTAGTAAGCATCCTGTTGTAAGCACTCCTGCAGTGAACATCTGCTCTCAGCACACCATTGTAAGCACCCCACAGTGGGTACCCTGCAGTAAATATGCATTGCTACAGTTTTTTTTTTTTTTAATCCTCACCTGATGATATGTTTTACTGATTTTAGAGAGAGAGGGGAGGAGGTTGAGAGAAAGAACAACCTTGATCAGCTGCCTCCCAAATACGCCCAGACTGGGGATCAAATCTGCAACATAGGCATGTGCCCTCACCAGGAATACAACTTGCAACCTTTTTGGTGCAAGCAACAGCACTCAACCAAATGAGCCACACCAGCTAGGGCCCCAAAGGTTTTAAAAGAGTGTAGGTAGTAGAGCAAGAGAGTTAAACTAAGGAATAAAATAGAACTCTCCCTTTATGCCAGGTGGAGAGAAAACCATCATGCTGTTAGATGGGCAGAGTATTCAGATCAGGCCATTGGGATGAACCTCCCAGCTCCTGAGGTTCAGTGGGGATTCTGGAATCGAGGCCTGGGTCCTCTGACATCCCTGTGTTAAATGCTCAAATCTTGGGATGCTGATGTGAACATGATTCTTGGGTACCAGTTGTTGTGTATATGTCCAGATCTAGATTCTTAGGTGGTCCATCTGGACATGCTGGACAATTCTCCTAAATTCTAGGTGCTAGAAAACTGGGGTGTGGGTCTGTATCCCATGGCATGGTATATAGAACTATGCATACATTTAGGAAGGGATGGTGGGATGAGGTGTTTGTACACTAATGTGGGCTCAGACAGAATCTTAGACCAGCCACTGATTCCTGTCCATTTGTTTCCCTAGAAACCCGAGACGACGAGCCTGCTTGTGGAAGACCCCTGGGCATCCGGGTGGGGCCCAACGGGACCCTTTTTGTGGCTGATGCATACAAGGGACTATTTGAAGTAAATCCCTGGACACGTATGTGACAATATCTTATTTCCTTCTGTGATGATTTCAGATTTTTTAAACAATATGTGCATAAGTGAACTTAATAGAATTTGTTCAATACAGTCAGCTGGAGACTCTGATATTTCTTACTCATTGAATAATACTGCAAGCATCACCTTACAAATATCAGCTAGTATAAACAATCACACAAATCCTTACTTGTGTGTATTTCAGTACCCTAATTTCCTCTGGTGTTTGTGTTTTAGCCACAGGTCTCAAGAGGACTTATTTTGCAGATATTAGACTTCACCCATCCATCTTTATATTTCAGTCTCTCTTTTTAAAAAAAAAAAAAATCGTATTTTTATTGATTTTGGAGAGGAAGGCAGAGGGAGAGAATGGTAGAAATATCAATGATGAGAGAGAGAATCGTTGATCGGCTGCCTCCTGCATGCCCCACACTGGGGATCGAACCTGCAACCTAGGCATGTGCCTTGACTGGGAATCAAACCATGACCTTCTGATTCATAGGTCAACCTTCAACCACTGAGCCCTGCTGTCTGTTTTCCTGTTTGTTTACTGCCTCTCAGTCTTTTATCCTTACTCTTAGTCTATGTCTTTTCATTTTCTTTCTCTAGCTTTCCCTCCCATTCCTTTCCCCTGACTGGTCATGATGCCATCTTGACCAGTGGTATAACATTTGCTGTATTTGCTTTGGCAGAGGAGGGATGTACCATAGAGGAAATCGTTATCGTGGGTGGTGTGTGGGGCCCTGGGTTCAGGCACTGCAGACCAACAGCATAGGTCTGCCATGCCATTGGCTGGCTGTGCGACTATATAATTCTCTCTGTGCACACTTCCTCATCCATGATAGGGATAATGTAATAGCCTGCCTTGTGGGATTGTTGTGAGGATTTAAATGATATACATGGAAAGAGTTTAACACTTATTAAATGTTATACTATTTTAAAAACCTATTACTTTCCTTTTAAAAAAATAGTTTTTTTTAAATTTTATTTTATTGATTTAGAGAGAGAAGTGGGGAGAGGGAAAGAGAGAGCGAAACATTGGTGAGAAAGACATATTGATCAGCTGCCTCCTTCACACCCCTACTGGGAATCAAGCCCGCAACCTGGGCATGTGCCCTGACTGGGAATTGAACCGGTGACCTCTTGGTGCATAGGATGACATTCAATCCATTGAGCCTCACCGACCGGACTACTCTTATTTTTTTATTTAAAAGCAGATGAGTAGAACATTTTGTATTTTTCTCAAACAAACAAATGAAATGTTGCCTTTTACATAAACTTTTAAGTCAGTTGGTCTCCATAAAAGAAAGTTCCTCATCTTCAGAGGAAGGGTTTTGCTTTAATGTAGTCTAAAAATATTCATCAGCTAACTGATGAAAGAAAGAAAAACACTTTATTGTAAGAAGGAATACATCTTTTGACATATGGCATGGGGAAGTTCATTTTAGTTTTTCTTTTAAATTAGGCTAATTAATATTTCAAAATTATTGTGATATGAGTTCTTAGAACGAAAGCAAGTCACTCTCTTCTCTCCTTCCTTCCCTTCCCTTCCCTTCCCTTCCCTTGCCTTCCCTTCCCTTCCCTTTTCCTTTTCCTTTTCCTTTTCCTTTTCCTTTTCCTTTTCCTTTTCCCTTTCCCTTTCCCTTCCCTTTTCCCTTTCCCTTTCCCTTTCCCTTTCCCTTTCCCTTTCCCTTTCCCTTTCCCTTTCCCTTTCCCTTTCCCTTTCCCTTTCCCTTTCCCTTTCCCTTTCCCTTTCCTTTTCTTCTTTGCTTCTTCAGGTGAAGTGAAATTGCTGCTGTCCTCTAACATACCTATCGAGGGGCGGAAAATGTCCTTTGTGAACGACCTTACAATAACTCGGGATGGGAAGAAGATTTATTTTACGGATTCCAGCAGCAAATGGCAAAGACGAGATTTTCTGCTTCTGATTATGGAGGGAACGGATGATGGGCGGTGAGTGTGTATTTCACATCTTCTGCTCAGTGAGATCAGCAGTCAAGCAGGGTAGCTTTAGCAGAGTGGATTGCTTCTAGAAATCTTTGAAGTGTTTCTGAGCACAATGTTTCAGCATTTCAGATAGGAGAATGACTGGGGGGATGTCTGAATAGGATGCCTGGGGCGCTGTGGGTGGGGAAGGGCTCCTAGGGGCCAGCCTGGGACCAGGTCTGAGCAGGGGACCACCAGGGCCTTGTCACTCCAGTGTGAGGCTGAGTCCCTTTCCGCAGGTCCCTGCCCAGAGGTGAGCCGGGCTCCAACCCAGCAGGGGCATGTGGACTCCCGGTGTGATCCTTTGCTGTTGGCACCCACAGCCTGCTAGAGTACGATACTGAGACCAAAGAAGTAAAGGTGTTACTGGACCATCTTCGGTTCCCTAACGGAGTGCAGCTTTCTCCCGAAGAAGACTTCGTCCTGGTGGCAGAGACGACCATGGCCAGGATAAGGAGGTGCGTGTGGCATCTGCTGAGCGGTCCGTGTTCACCAGAGAGTTTTGAGCCCGGGTGGGTGTGGAGGTGTCCATTGAGAAAATTTAAGAATCGCCAGGGCACCTCTCCTTTGTGTAATAATGACAAACATCACACTCAAGAGCGTGTTTTCTTTTCCCCATGTCTCAGCCTATTTGAGTGTCGCAGTCTGGGAGAGTTAGTTTAGTGCTGATGCACATCCCACGTGCCTTCCCTGTCGGTGGGTCTTGGCCCACCAGCTTTCCCCTAACGGCATCTAGCTGGGCCCAGTGCTCGAGTCCCTCTTTCAGCAGCTGCACTTTTATTTATAATGGACATATTATAGTTGGTTCCATAAACTTATTGGAACCAAGACTAATTTTGTGGTTGGCTAAAATTTTTTCTTAAATTGGGGACTGCTGCTCATATCTGCTTGGGTGGATTTTTCAGAGTCTACGTGTCTGGCCTGACGAAGGGAGGGGTCGACCTGTTCGTGGAGAACCTGCCTGGATTCCCAGACAACATCCGGCCCAGCAGCTCCGGGGGCTACTGGGTCGGCATGTCGACCATTCGCGCCAACCCCGGGTTCTCAATGTTGGATTTCTTATCCGAGAGGCCTTATATTAAAAGAATGATTTTTAAGGTAACTGAAAACTATAATTCTAAGATCCAAAACTATAATTAGAAGATGCATCTCATTATGATCTAGTTTGACTTATAGCTCTAAAATTCTAGTTCTGCTTATAATATTTAGTACTTTCAGAGATTTCTTTAAAACACCTTTTATTCTGCAGCATGACATGAAGCTTAACCATTTGGACCCTTTGATTTTTCCCCCCCTCTGATTTTCTGGTCTAGGCGTTTTTATCATCACCCTCACCATCATGACCTTTTGGTGTCTCTATCCTGCCTGTCACCCTCCCTCTTCCTACTTTGAGATGGCTTCTTAAGGCCTTCCTTCTCCTCCAAACCTGGATCCCGGCCTCCCCCTCTCCGTCAGCAGCTAGCACTGCTTCTCCTCTAAGGGTTCCCAGGTGCCTCTTCCCGTGGCCATACGTGTAACTCACTCACCTTGGACCCATGCTGCCCTGCTCCCTCCTCCCTTCTTGGAACCTCCTCCAGTCACCCCTCTCCACAGGATTTTGCCCTTTTACATATTAGCACACCAGATTCTTCCCCATTTAAAACAAATCATTCACCCTTGCCAACAGCCGGCAGACCATTCAACACAGCCTTTAAATGTTCGTCATCCTGCCCTTTCTCCAGTGGCTTCCACGAAATGCCCTGAATGTAAAAACACATTTTACAATGGGGACTTGCTGATACAGGTACTTCCTTCATAGAGAAATCTTATTTTCTGAAAAGCTTCTTTTTACAGGCTGAATAGTATTTGAAATTGATATTGAATATTTGCATAGATATTAAAATATTTGTAACTTAAAGTGCTGAAAGGTGGCAGGCAGCAGTTACTGAGGCCACGTGGTGCCAAGCCCTGTGTTTGGGCCCCAGTGAGGGCTGCATACACCTGCTCGGTCTGGCTGTTCCATGACCTTCAGTGTTGTTCTGCGTTTAGTGGTCAATGTAGCAAATCCCGATCTGTTCAGAAATAACACATCTTCTTCTATGTATGGTTGGCTTCAGAGCCAACATCTGTTTCCACTGGAATCTAGGAGGAGGCAGAGGGTAGGGTGGCAAGAAGAGGAGTTTTGAAGATCATACCAGCTGACCAGATGTGGTCTTTCTGATTCAGTTTCTTCCTCTGTCAAGTGAGAAGAATAATAGCATTTCATTACGTGCTGAAAACATATAATGCGAATATGCACACAATGCCCTTAGCTGAGTGTAGTAGTGCTCAGTTTCCGGCCCTCTTAGCTTTTCTTCAGCCAGGATGTGGCCCCACGGTGGTGCGTGGCTGTCGCTCCATTGATGGAATGTGTGCTTCACCAGAGCAGGTACTTTTCCTGTTTAGTTTACTCCTTTATCCTCAGCACCGAGAACAGTGTCTGGCACACAGTGGGCACTCAGAAGTTTTTGTGGAATAAATGAGTGATTAGAGAGCTGCGACCATAGTGTGAGATAGACCTGGAGCAGTGAGATGTGTTCCTGGTGACGGAGAACATGGTTGGGGTCCCTGGGGCAGCAGAGCTCAGCATCTGTGTGTGACCTGAGACATAACAGAAGGATCGCAGGTGGGAGAAGTGTGTGAGAATCCTGGCCTTGTAGGAGGCTAGATTTTATTCAAAGTGGGATCAAAGTCATTGGGGATTTTTTATTTTTTATTTTTGATACAATATTAGACATAGAAAAGTAGCAAGAAAGGTACAATGAACTTTTTTCAAGAACTGTTTGCAAGTAAGTTGTTGCCTGATGCCCTTCAGATACTTAGTGTATTTCCTACAATAAGGACATTCTCCCTCAAGACCACCTGCCCAGACAGGAACGTTACAGGAACACCTGCCCACTGTCCAACCACGCAGCCAATCAGGTTGCTCCGGTTGCCCCAGGGATGTCCTTTAGTTATCAGCTCAGGATCAGACATGGCCTCCAGCCAACACACCTCCTTAGCCTCCTGCGGTCTGGAGCAGCTCCTCAGTTTTGACCTGTTGGAAGGTTACCGGTCAGTTATATTTCAGGTGCCTCTCCATTTGGGTTGCCAGGTAAGCCTCTCTGGCAGAGAGACCAGAGTGCAGCTGGGTTTTCAGTGTGTCCTGCAGGAGGGGTGACGCCACCATGTCCCATGCTGGTGGTGTGTGTTTGTCACCTGTGAAGCCACCCTTTCCCCTTTGTAATTAACGCGTATTTTGTGGGGAGGCCTTCACTTTTTAAAATTTTAATTAGTTAATTAATATGATTTTATTTATTGTGGGGTGGCACTTTATAACTAGGTAAATAGCAGTATTATCTCATGGTTACCTATTTTACTCAGTGGTTATATAATCTGTTAGTATCATTATATATTTGTTTTTTCAAAGAGAGGAAAGGAGAGGGAGGGAGGGAGGGAGGGAGGGAGGGAGGGAGGGGGAGAGAGAGAGAGAGAGAGAGAGAGAGAGAGAGAGAGAGAGAGAGAGAGAGAAATGTCAGTGATGAGAGAGAATCATTCATCAGCTGCCTCCCTGCATGCCCCCTACTGAGGATCGAGCTCGCAACCCCAGCATGTGTCCTGACCAGGAATCGAACCGTCCTGGTTCATGGGTTGGCACTCAACCACTGAGCACCACCGGCCTGGCTATCATTATTTACTTTGATACTTAGATTGTCCAGCTGTGGCCACTGAGAGTCCTTCAGAGTGGCTCCTTACCTTTGGACATGCACCTGTCATTCTTGGGGTGGTTCCTCACCCCCTGGCTCCACATGTTCAGGCTCATCTCACCCTTTCCCCACCCAGCTCTGGAACCAGCCACTTCCTCAAGGAGCTGGTTCCTTCTAGAGACCTGGGGCTAAGTGCGCACATAACTGCTCCCAGGCCCCCTCATGGACAAAGCAGGAAATGTATTTTGCATGTGTAGTCATACATGTTTACACATATATATACAATGTACACACATTTACACCTACATTTACTTATCATCTGTTTATTTAAATCGAAAACCATAAGTAAACCATAAGTATTTCTTACTTCTAGCTTAATACCTCAGGATCTATTCTAGTTTTCTCCCTTTTTTATTTGTACTTCCTTTTTTTTCCATTAGCGAAAAACCTGGATCCCTCTATCTTTCATATCCATTTGATCACATTCCCCAAATGTCACCAATTTGTAGCCATTGTCCCCTGTCACATGGTCTCTGCTAGGGCTCTAGCACTACCTTGGGCCTTCTCCCTCCTCGTGGCCATGTTATGGGGCCAGCCTTTCTCCCGAGGGGCTCTGCTACCGCACAAGCTCCCCAGGTAAACGCCCTCCTCATCCTGCTTAAGCTCTGACACCCTACTCCGCATCACTGTCCTTTCCCTCCCCTCAGTGTGGACTCTGCCTCACCCTGTTCAGACTGACTCTCTGGACTAGGCCACCGGGGTTCCCCCACCCTCTGCGCACACCTGCTTCACTTGCCCCGCAGTCTGCTGCTTGACTGATCTGAATAAATTTTAAAGAGCTGATTGGCTTTTTTCAATGATTCTGGGCAGCATGCATTTTAACAGATGAAAAGCAGCTCCAAGAAGCTGTACAAAATGAGACTTTCCTAGGTAGAAGGGAATAGGAATAAGGATGTCACACAAGTAAAAATCATGTTGGTGGCTGCAAGGTCACTTTCCTGAGGGGGCGCAGGGGCGGTCAGGCAGATGACTTAACTAGTGTTCATTGGGGGCCTGATTCCTGACTGACTGGCTTAAGATTCCATTTCTGGGGGAGCCTACACTGTACATAAATTAAATCTTGGTTTGGTGACGTGGGCTTAGTGTCAGCGATCCCATTGGAGGCCTGTTGTCTTGTTTTTGAAAGGTTGGATCTGCTCACATTCTTTTAGTCAGGAGGTCAGTTCCACACTGTGCTTCCCTTCCAGCTGTTCAGTCAGGAGACGGTGATGAAGTTTGTGCCGCGGTATAGCCTCGCCCTGGAACTCAGCAGCAGTGGCGCCTTCAAGAGGAGCCTTCACGATCCTGATGGGCAGGTGGCCACCTACATCAGCGAAGTGCATGAGCATGATGGGCACCTCTACCTGGGCTCCTTCCGGTCTCCCTTCATCTGCAGACTCAACCTTCAGTCTCTTTAGCCACCCGAGGGCAGCCCTGATCGTGGCTGTGCCAGGAGTTGGCACATGGCACCGCCTGGTCCAGGAGGCACCATGGACACAGCCCTTTTCACCTGTAGCACTGTTCCTTGGAAGTGTGGTGTGACCCTGGGGATGTATGTAGGACAGACTCACCTGGGTTTGATTTTGCAGTTAGAGGGAAGCATAGCATATGCCATTGGAAGATAAGTTCACGTAGAGCCATTTTCTCTAAAAAAAATTCTAAGTATGGCAATTCTCCAGGACTTGAGGGGCATCATGCACTTTTAGCAGGCCTCAGGGTTTTGATGGCTAGAGCAGTAGATGAGTTGTCCAGGCACTTGTTTTAGCTATTGGCTCTGTCCTGCCAGCCTCAGTATCTTCATTATAAAACAGGGTAATGCCTGCTTATGGGGAGGAGCAAAGGAAGGGCAAGGAGTGCTCAGTGCAAAAAGTGCCTGTGCGAGCACTGACCTCAGCACTGCTTTTCAGAGCTGTGGGGGCCCGCCCTTGCGCTGCCCCTCGCCCCCCCTTCCCCCATGGCCTTTTCCTCCCATTGCTTCCACCCCTAGCCTCTGGCTCATAACAGGGTTTTTTTTTTTTTTTTTTAAACTCCCATCATATAAAGGCAGGGACCTAAGTAAGTGCATAGGAGAAACATGTTTTCAAAAGCTCCACGAGGACTACCTGGGTCAGCCTCTGAACAACCTACCACACAAATGAATGGCCCAGCAGCGGGTGAGTTTAGGGCAGACCTATTTACATCTTTGTTCCTCACCTCTAGTCCCACAGGTGTGACTAGTACAGATGTTAATGTCATATTTGCTTCAGTGTCAAAAGCCCACAAGTTGCTGTATGTCTACACACTGGTCATGTTTTGTCAAGGAGACCTCTGTAGTGACGATAATTAAATAAACTTTTATTCTGATTAGCCGTTTGTGATGGTGTCGCCTAGGAGGTTCTTCTCTACTTTAAATATAATTATCAGTGACTGGAATCTGATTCCATCCCGTGTGATGTGAGGAGTGTTTTGGCTGAGATCTTGTTTAGGGTCAAGCAGTTCCTCTGGGTTGCTCAGGTCCTCTTAGGGGCAGCATCGGCCTCAGGCCATGGCCTCCAGCCTCCATTCATTCTTGGGTAAGTTGATAGTACACTGCTCCCTATTTTCCAATCGACAAATCTGTTTCTGGAGAAATGTCCTAAAGGACAGTTTGGGCTTCTGGGATAGTTTTTAAGAATTTGACTGGACAGTATTTTAAATACGTAATGATACAATTCAAAGGGGATTGAGAGATGTGGTAAAATCTGAACCTTTGTGTCTTGTCACACTGGCTGACCTCCAACCCCTCCCCTTCCTTTTCCAGTGCAGCCACCCCCACTCCATGCCTTTAGTCCAGCCTGATTTTGGGGGAAGGAAGTCCGGAGCTTAGCAGTGGACTCATCTCATGTCACCCTCCTCCGGCTGGCCTTCTGTGCAGCAACTGTAGAACCAAGCCAAAAACTGGCTTCAGACTAGCTGGTGCAACCCATATCATCTCAGATGAATGACTTACTATTTATGTAACTTTATAGGAAAGAAAATTGAGTAGTGATTATTAAATATTTTAAATAGATATTATACCCCATATAGCAAGTATATAAGAATAATAGGGTAAAACCCAATCATTCTGCCACAAAAAATAAATATAAATGTTTGGGGCCTAAATAAGTAGACTTCTTTAAATTTTTTTTTTTTTTTAAATTTAGAGAGAGAGGAAAGGGGAGGGATAGAGAGAGGAACATCAAAGAGAGACACATTGATCAGCTGTCTCCAGCATACCTCCCACTGGGAATCAAACTGGGAAGTCTTGGTTCATGGGTTGGCACTCAACCACTGAGCCACACCAGGCAGGTGTAAGTTGAGAAGAAAGGGCTTTGCTTAATTTTTACTGTTACAAAGAAGCTGGTAAATTGCTTTTCACAGTTTTCATCAAAGGAGTCTCAATTTGATTTAGATGTTGATTTTTTGTCTCAAAGTGTCATTTCCTGTATTTTATTTGGTAATTTGACATGGTGATGTGCAAAATATAACCTTAATAGATTTGAATGTGTGATAGCTTTTATTGTAAACAAAATTTGGATTTGCTCTAATGTGAATTACTAACATGGTTTTAAAATTAAATCAAGTTGCTCATTCACTGTGTGCCTCTTTATTATCTATCATAAAAACTCCCTTACGATTCATTACTGCTTTTTATAGGACAGAAGGCCCATTTTGATATTTTTATTATGACTATACACTTGCGGAATGTGTTTAGAAAGTGTTTTCATGTACTCAGACCTTTTAACGATGCAAGGAGATACGACCTCATTTTACAGGTAGGAGCTGAGGCTGGTACATAAATGACTTGCTCAGAGTCTCAGCCAGCGCACAGCTGTGCCAGGATCTGTTCTTTGCCTGGAATCTGCTGGGGAAGCTGGGAGAGAGGCTGGGTGGCGTGAGGGCTGGGCTCTGCGGTGGCCACCACCCAGCCCGGGGGTCAGATCTTGACTACACACCAGAGTTCCCTGGGCTGCCCAGCTCCCCGGCAGCTTTGAGAGGTGGTCACCATGGGCAATGGTGAGACTTCCGTCACAGTCTGAGCTTACCTGCAACCTCAAGAGGGCCTAGGCTGTGTGAATGTCTGCAGCAGGGGGTGCCTGGGGAGGAGGGTGGAGGGCTGTGGCCAGGGAAAGCTAAGTCACTTAGGCAGGACTGCCAGAATTTTGATGGTTTTGAGAAAGTGCTTCTTTTTGGTCACAGTTCTTATGTCTTAGAATACTGGGCACTTAACTTTGCATGTTCTCCATGATAACATCATCTGAGGCAGAGTAAAACTGATGAGTTTTTAAAAATAGATAGAGTTGGGTTTGCAGTTCAGGACTTGAGGTCGTCACTGGTTGACATCTGCCACCTGTGGTCAGGTACACTGTCTCCATGTGTTGCTTGGTTTCCTCTGTTTGAACCCAGGGCTCGCCCGGCTCCATCCCCGGTGGGGCTTTGGTGTGCTGAGTCCTGAGAGAACAGTCTCTCACTGCGGTCAGAGTTAGGAGGATGGGAACATTGGGTGGAGCCCACACGGTCAGTGCAAGCAGTGCCTGCTCTCCAGGAAGCTGGGGCAAAATGTCCACAAAGGTATGCCAGCTGCTGATTTCCAAATTACAAGGCAGCTTCACCCTGGCTCGCCACCCAGTCCCTTTCCTTCTGGTGTCACCCTGGAAGGCTTAAGCGTTATTTGAAGACAAGCAGTTACCTCTGTGAGAGACACTGCATAAAACAGATTGGGGTTGGGGTGGTAGAACTGTGGGTGCATTATAAAGTAGAGCCCCTTTCTACCTGGAATCCGCGCCCGAGGACCTCAGGGAGGGAGGGTTTGCAGAAGCCTGAGGCTGGGGTACGTAGTCCACTGGCTTCTGTCTTGCTGGTTTGCCATAGTTTTAAGACTTTGTCAACTTATAGGAGGCAGTAAATTCCTGGACACAAGTGGTGGTGTGAAAATTGTGGGTATACATTAGGATTCAGAGTTCTGAGATGGGGTTTGAGGCTTTCTCTTCCCTGCCAAGAGGGAAGGTTAGCCCATAGCTTTCTGGCTGGGCAGGGGCGGTGGTGGGGTGGGGAATGCAGCTCCTAGCAGGGGTGCTGTGAGGCTGCGAGGCAGCCCTCCCCAACAGCTTCCTTTGTATGAATTCTCATTTCTGACCCGCCTGTAAGGCCAGTGGCGTGGGGTGTCTGGAGGTCTGAGTAATTTTAGGACAGGCCTGGCCTTGATGAGCTCTGGTCTGTACTTACGTGTAAGTGAGAACTGACTGAGAGCTCAGGATCTGGGGTCCTCCTCATTTGCTGCATTATCTTGCCTAAGCCACACAGGCCATCGTCAGCCGTGTCCTGAAGCCGCCTGCTTACACTCCTAGGGTTGGTGCTCCTGCCATCTTGTTTATGTAGGGGGTCAGCAGCACCGAGTGAACTCGCTTATCTTTAAGAAAGGACTGCCTTCAGGGCCCTTTGAAATCAGGATAAATTATATGTCTTGTGTCATAGTTGCTACTCCTGCCCCTGAATTAAATGACCAGAAGGAGGTGAATCAAGGCAGCAAAAACATTGAGGATTTGGAATTATAGTTTTCTGTCATCACTGAAGGAAGCTGTGGTTCATCCATTTTGGTTATTCACGTTGATCAAGTTTATGACGTGTGCTAACTTGCCATACATATCCAATGCGGATTTCCTTTTTCCTGTGAATGATCAGGTCCATGTATATTTTTAAAGGCAACCACATACTTTGTACCAGCCCATAGTTTGAAGGGGGCCTCGGCAGGAAGAACTCCAGAGGGGGGCCTGCATCTGCACCAGGCTCTCTGGCGTGGGGTGTCTGGGGGCATCTCTGAGTGAGCTCTCAGCCTTCGGCATCTCCGGGGCTTCTGTGGTCCAGTCTCACACCCTTCCAGGGCAAGCGCGGGGCCTGTCTTACACGGACCCTGGGTGGTCTCCTCCTGTGCCCCCAGTGCAGCATGTCCACCCTTACCTTGTCTTCCTTCTCCTAGGGGAGTCTCTGTGTGTGAGATGCTCCCTCTCCTGGGAGGGTCTGTGTGTGGGATGCTCCCTCTCCTGGGAGGGTCTGTGTATGGGAGTGCTCCCCCTCCTGGTGGGTCTCTTTGTGGGAGTGCTCCCTTTACTGGGTGGGTCTACGTGTGTGAAGTGCTCCTTCTCCTGGGGGATCTGTGTGTGTGGGGGGGATCTCCCTCTCTTGGATGGGTTTGTATGTGGGGGTGCTCCCTCTTTTGGGAGGATCTGTATATGTGGGTGCCCCCTCTCCTGGATGGTTCTATGTGTGGGGGTGCTCTCTCTCCTGGGTGGGTCTGTATGTGGGTATACTTCTTCTCTGGGGGGGGGGGGGGAGGGCAGGGGACGGTGTCTCTGTGTGTGTGGGTGCTCCCTCTCCTGGATGGGTCTGTGTGTGGGGGTGCTCCCTCTCCTGGGTGGGTCTGTATGTGTGGGTGCCCCCTCTCCTCGATGGGTCTATGTGGGAGGGTGCTCTCTCTCCTGGGTGGGTCTGTATGTGGGTATACTCCCTCTCGGGGGGTGGGGGTGGTGGTATCTGTGTGTGGGGTGCTCCCTCTCTTGTGGGGGTCTGTGTGTGTGGGTGCTCTCTCTCCTGGGTGGGTCAGTAGGGGTGAGGGTGCACCCTCTCTTAGGTGAATCTGTGTGGGATGCTCCTCCTGGGTGGGGATGTGTGGGATGTTAACCCAACACCCTATCGTACCCACTTGTCCAGACACAGCTGTACGTTTGCTGAGTCTCAAAGGCAGCTGGGAGGATTGAGTGGGCATCCCCTGTTAGAAGGAAGCACAGCTGGCAGGTGGTCACCCTCTGTGGGGTGCCCCTCCCCTGCCAGTTCATGGGATGGACATAGGATGGCCTGTTTCTGCTCTCTGGTCTCCAGGATGTTGTGTTCGTGGACTAGAGGCTGGAAAGCCCTGGCGCTTTGCGGAAGTCACCTGGCCTGGTCAGGCTCTCCGTGAGGGGGTCCCTCACCGCCCACCTCACTTCCTGAGACCCCTGGAGCAGGTGACGCAGCAGCCATTGCTTTGAGATGGTCAGTTCTTATTCATGTTTATTTATAACTTCATCCATGAAAGGCCAAGATGCTCAATAGCAGCTGAATCCCTTCGTCCAGTGCTGCAAGCATTCAGACGAATCGGGGACCCAGGACCTGGGTGGGAGGGGCTCCTTCAAGGAGTTGAGAACCCAACACATTTCCATTGGAGGATTCAGTCCTGCGTGTTCACACTCTGAATCCAGGCACACAGCATCAGTAGCATTAGCTTAGAAGAGAATTCCAAGTGTGTATTTTAACTGTGGGGTAGTCACTCTTCCATCCCAGTTACTCTGTAATGAACCGTGGGCACTTCCATTCTGCTTGCCGGGAGACACTACTTCCAAAGTGACAGCAGCCGAAGTATTGCTGAGAGGCAGTCAGTGACAGTGGAGAACGGGCACCTCGAACCTGTGGAGCCAGGGGATGACCCAGACTTCAGAGTAGCAACTGAGGGTCTGAAACAAAGAAGGGCACCCTGAGAACCATGCTGCCTGCCGCAGGGGCCACCCGCCTGGCCGAGGCTGCCACTCAGCTCTGCAGTGTCTAGTGCTGCTGCCTGTGTGCGCACTCATGTGTGAGTGTGCGCGTGCGCACTCATGTGTGTGCATGCATCTGAGTTTTCCTTACTGAAGAGTTCTCTCCTTGCCCTGAGGGTCCTTGTGGAAAAAAAAAAAGTCAAATCTACAGACATTGAAAGAATAATTCAAGAATATATGCTTTTGCCGAAACCGGTATGGCTCAGTGGATAGAGCGTAGGCCTACGGACTGAAAGGTCCCAGGTTCGATTCTGGTCAAGGGCATGTACCTTGGTTGCGGGCACATCCCCAGTAGGGGGTGTGCAAGAGGCAGCTGATCGATGATTCTCTCTCATTGATGTTTCTAACACTCTATCCCTCTCTTCCTCTCTGTAAAAAATCAATAAAATATATTAAAAAATATATATGCTTTTGCCTATAGTTACAAATTCTTAAATGTTGCCGCATTTGGTTTCCCTCTGCTTGTGTATACACATTTCTGAATTATTCAAAAGGTCTTTTTTTTGCTCTAACCTGCCCCCGATGTGGATATGCCTCTGAGGAGGGGGTCTCCCCTCTATGTCTGCCGTGTCTGCAGGATCCTGTTAGATGCTGAAGACCTGGACTCAAGAGTGAAATCTGGGACTGTGGGGGTAGAGAGAGGATGAAGGAGTGTTTCCCAAGGCCCCGGAGAGAGGTGGGGCTAGGAAAGTGGCAAAGGGTCTGAGGAGTGAGGCCCCTTTGCTTACCATCTTCAAGGTGTGGTTGGTCTGGAAGTCACAGTTGTCCAGACTGGGGTGCTTGGTTTTCTTGCAGGTAGTTCTGCCAATTTCCATGTCCAGCATGTACTTCAGGCCTTTCACTATCTGAAGAGAGCAGAGGACAGGACCTGGGTTACTGGGTTGGACTCAGCAGGAGGTGGATTTAGACGGGTGTGAGGGTGCCCTGATGGGACTGGCCCCTGCCTGCTGGAGAGGGAGTGAGCGGTGGGGAGGGAATGTGGACATACAGGAGCCGCCATGGGAAGAAAGCCTGTGACTGGACCCCAGACCCTCCCGGTTCTCTTCTTCATTCACTCTTTTCATTCCTGCTTGGGACTTAGCTCTTGGTTCCAGGGGCAAAACGGGGCTCTGTGTCCTGTCTTAGGACATATTCCTGCCCAGGTCTCTCCATCAGCCATCAGGAGGAGGCAGAGGCGGGTTGCCGTGAGGTGCCCTGGCCTCAGGGCAGTGGTGAAGTCCTGCCCTGGCCCCTCTCCCAGGACCCGGTCACCCACAATCACGTGCCCTGGGTGGCCTCTGCATGGGGTGAGGAAAAGCAGTGTGTCTGCTGGCTCCTCACCATTCCGGGCAGTAGGGTGGGCACTTTATTTTCAGTTACAGCCTTTCTTCACTTGTATGTGGCAACAACCTGGTCTTGTCCCACCACCAGGTACCAAGTGAAACCCAGTCCCCAAGGTCACAGAGGAAGGGATAATGCACCCCATCCCCCAGGGGCTCTTGGGCACTCGGGTATCTTGAACTTGCAGTGGTCCTGGAGCTGTGTCCTTAGAGTGATGACACTTGGGCTGTTTTCATGGAAATCTTATTATTTTCCAGAAGGAAGTTCGATGTGAAATTCCCACATCAGACTGCCTTCTGGAAAATACTTTTTAAGCATAAAAATACACTGCTCGCCCTGGCCAGCGTGGCACAGTTGGTTGGGTGTCATCCCAGGCACCGAAAGGTTGCCAGTTCCATTCCCGGTCAGAGCACATGCCTGGGGTTGCGGGCTCGATTCCTGGGAGGGTGTGTACAGGAGGCAGCTGATGGATGCTTCGCTCTTGCATTGATGTTTCTCTCTGTCTCCCTCGCCCTTCCTCTCTCTCTGAAAATCACTTTTAAAATTCTTTTAAAAATACACTACTCTTAAAAAGTTTGCAATTGCCCAAAACAATGAACATGGTTGTAAAAATCACCTATAATTCTGTGACCCAAAGGTAACCAATCATTAATAATATGTACACATGCTGAAACCGGTTTGGCTCAGTGGATAGAGCGTGGGCCTGCGGACTGAAGGGTCCCAGGTTCGATTCCAGTCAAGGGCATGTGTCTTGGTTGCGGGCACATCCCCAATAGGGGGTGTGCAGGAGGCAGCTGATCATTGTCTCTCTCTCTCATCACTCTTTCTAACTCTCTGTCTCTCTGTCTCTCTTCCTCTCTGTAAAAAAATCAATAAAATATATTTAAAAAAAAATAGTATGTACACAGTGGCAGAGTCTTTCCTCCTTCCTGAACCCACACCCAAGGGAATGTGTGGGTTTTGTCCAAAGCTGGCTTCTCACAACCTTTCTTCACTTGCTTCTGAGTGGCTGTACAGTATCCCTGGTCTTAGTAAAGGCAGAGGCTGCTGGGTAACCCTGTCATCATTATGGTTCATCACTATTCTGCACCCTTATCCCAAGCTGACCCTGTGTTCTCAGGATACAGATGACCAAAGCCTGGCTCTGCCCTGTAGAGTCCCCTCTAGGTGAAAGATCGCCGAGCCATCCCGGGACGACTTCACAGGGTGTGACATTGAGGCAAGGCTGGTGGAGGAAGGGTTTGTGTGTGGGGAGGGGTGCTCTTATGTAAAATAAGTCCCAGGTAGAGAATATCGAAAGGTCCTATGGGGCTGTGGCTCTGGTGAGAGGGTGGGGCAGGGGTGGGCCCTAGGCAGGGGCAACTGTAGCAGGTAGTGCAGTAGGCCCCTCCAAGGGGCAGCATCTTCATCAGTTTGGTTCCTGTTGCCCAGCTTCTGTTTCTCCCCATCCAAAGCCGTCAGCAGGCCCACGCCTAGTCCCCTTCCACCCCAGCTCACCTTTGTGCTACTTCCAGTGGCTCCACCCAAAAGAAGTTGGTTTCAGTAAGAAGTGGTCCTGGACTTTTTGTTCAAGTCTGGTGACACTGGCAGCCTGGTTGCAGGCTCTCTGTGGCTGCCACTGCCAGCCTCCTGGCCTGTTTTGCGTTCTATTAATAGATGGCCAGGACGCTGCAGCCTGGCCCCGGAGATGCTGCCCACTAGACCCTCACCTGGACCAGGGCTCTGCGGAGCTGGGACTCCTTGAACAAGAAGATGTCATTCGTGCAGTTGTTGAACTTTTCAACGCTGTATCTGGCTGCTTTGAGAACCTCTGGGTCGTTGGTCTTGATTGCTCTGGGAAATCCTGGGTACACACCGGAGTGAAAGATCTGGGAACAAACATCTGAAAGAGAAACACAGAACCAGATAAGAACATGTTGTTAATGCGGTCTTGGTCCAGGGTCATGCTTCACACCTTGGCGCTCAGTTCTCTCTGCTCCCAGTGTGGTCCCCAGCCCGTCTAGTTCCTCACTCATCTGCCCTCCCCTCACCGATCCCTCCTCTCCTCACTACCTACCCTCTGTTCTCCTGTCCACCCTCCCTGGCCTGTCCAGTCCTCACCCCACAGTGCAATTCTTGTGAATCCCCGTGGCTGCTCTTACTGAAAGCTGAGGATCAGGCGAGGTGGGTGTTACAATGATGGCTTGGATCCAGTTCCTGTCCCTGCCCACACAGCCTCCTTCAGAACCCAGGGGTATTTCCAATACGTGTTAAAGAAAACCTGACATGTCTGGCAGTGGCAGAGCCTCGGGACAGGAAGTAGCCTCAGGGTGTCAGGAGAAGTCACTCTAGCTGTCCTTCAAGGCTGACTTCTGGCCCCCGACTCCTCTGCTTGTCGCCAACAAGGAAGTGCCCTAGGCTGGTCCTGCCTTTTCACTGACAAGGAGGCAGCTGCTTTCCTCCACCTCGGGGGCCTCTTGTCAGCATCTCCCCAGCTTCCAGGCCTCTCTCCTAGGGGCCCGGTTCCCTAGGCAGCACCAGAGCGCCTGGTGCTCCTCCCCTGTGCCGCCTCTTTCCGCAATGTTTCGGGTACACGTCTGAGGACAGGGCCAGGCCTGGGTGACTTCATTGCACATGGCTCCTTTATGGAACCGGCACATGGTGGAGGGCGGGCGGGAGGGAGGCCTGGACTTCCTGTCCCGAGGAGGCCCATGTTTGGATAAAAGATGGGGAAAGCAACCTGAGGGGCTTCCCCTACCACCACATCCCAGCCTCTGACAGCCAGGCAGAACCAGGGACCCTGGCACCCTCCTCGGCACCCCATATCCTCCCTCCAAGCTCCCCCCAGCAGCAGGCCCAGGCAGACCCGAGGCTCCTCCCCGAGGAAGAACCTGACTTCACTCCTTTGTTCCGTCCCCAAGGGCTGAGCCCTCTTCATCCTGCCTGGGCAGTGGGCGCAGAAACTAATGTTCGCTGGAGCTCACATTCCGCAAATAAACAGGCAAGAGAACCATTAGCGCAGCGAGTGAGGAAAGGCAGGAGCTATGCAGGGATTTGTCCGCAGGGAGCAGGTGGGGCTGAGCCATTCACACGGACCCGGATGGAGGGCCTGAGAGGGGCCATGGGGCAGAGGACTCACTCTGAAGCAAGGAGGGGGTGGGGAGAAACGCTCAGAGGCCAGGCTGGCTCGGGGTGGGTGTGTGCTCATCCAGGTTATGAACACTGGCTTTTATTAGGAAAAACATAGGGATGTAAAAAACCCAGAGTATGTGTGAATTGCATGAATTGCAACATGGTCTTCATGAACATGGCCCTTTGTGGTTGGTGGCTCCTGTTGAATTTGTCATTTTTACTACAACGGTCATGTACTACTTGTATATTAAAAAGTTAAAAGTTTCAGGGGAAAATCTAAATAAATCGGGCGGGGGGGAGTGTGGGAAGAGGGCTTTTAGGTCTGTGAACTGCTTCTCTATACTAAGACTTTCCCCAGATGTTCCTGAAAAATCAGCGTGGTCCAAGCGGAGCTGCCCCACAGGCTGGCAATGAAGGCAGCAGTTTTATTTCATTTGCTAAATTAAATGGTGCCAAGTTCAGTGTTTTGGTGTCACAGCTGGTGTCAGGGGCTCTGTAGCCACACGTGGTGGTGACTGCCATCTGGGCGGCAGGGCCTGGGTGCTGCAGAGGTAGGCAGGGTTAGCAGCGGCAGGGGTGCCCAAGCAACAGGAAGTGGAGAGGGGGTGTGAGGGCAGCAGCAGCGCCAACCCCACAAGCTCCCGGCTTAGAGATTCAGCTGCCACGAGCTCCCCTGCTCATTCCACACAGCGTCCCCGAGATTCTGCTTTGCAGTCGTCCGGCCCTCCAGTGACTTCCTCACAGAAGCGGAAGCCCTCACTGGAGCGGCTGAAGACTGAAGCATGGCAGCTGTTTCTGTCCAGGAGCTGGGCTGCTCAGGCTGCCTGGGGCCTGGAACCTTCCTTTCCCCGCTCCCCACGTGGCTCCTATGGCCAAGCCCACTGATGCCAGCAAGGTGGGGACGCTCCTCCTGGGGCTGTGCTACTGACTCTCGGTTTTAACAAGAACCGTTTGGGGAAAGAGCTTGGCTTCTGCTCACCACTGAAGTCTGTGTACACAGCAATTTCCAGGTACTATGTGGTCCCTCACCCCCCACTGTGGAGTCAGACAGGCATTGCCTGTTCTGATTGTAAGCTTACTTATTTTGGGTAGGAAATTTGAAAAATACAGTTTAACAAAAATAGTATATCTCAGTCTCTCCAAGGTAGCCACCGTTAACCTTTTAAAATAAAATGTATTCCCTTTAATTTTGCTTGAATTTAGCTGCATTAAAACAAAGAAATGAAATCAGGTGAGGCTGGACCTCAGACGAATACGTAATGCTAGTTTCTAAGGGATTTGGGTAAAGTTACAAAGAAGTTATGAAAAATATTGAAGTGACTTTCTTTTTAGTTAGCATGTTTCCTAAAATGTCAGTTTCAAGTCAGCACAGGGGTCTGAACAAAGAATAAAAGCTCCATTTTTAATTTTACAAAAAGTTGAAAAGTCACACCAGTTCTAGGATAATGCAAGAGAAATTAACAGGGAAGGGCCGATCATGAAGGAAAAGATCCCAAAGAGGTGACTCCCCTTTGAGGAAGAAAACAAACAGGTCCCTGAATCCCAACCTGGAGTCAGCCCGCCTGCCTGCTGTCCTCTGCACTGTGTGGGACCTGTGCCTTGTGCGGGGGAGCTGAAGTGAGTGGGGGGTGGGAGGGGGGAGCAGGAGAAGCCTGCTCTGTAACCCCTTCTCACACCTCTTCAGGGGCTGAGCTTGGGTGCCCATTCTACAGGTGAGGAAACTGAGGCTCAGAGGAGTGCAGGGCACGCTTAGTTCTAGAAACCATGCTCTCCTTTTCCTCATTCAAGAAGTATATTTTGGCAGCTGCTATGGGCAATGCCAAGATGACTCTGAGACTAAGGGGGGCAGCTCTGGTGAAAGGATGCTACGAGTTGGCTAAGGATTCTCCACGCGTCCTGGATCTGCCCCTGCTCCTTAGGGGACGAAGCTGAGGCAAGCAGAAGGAGCTTCCATGTAGCCTGAATAACTGCACCCAGGACAGCTGAGAAGGCAGGTACAGCGTCCCTGAGCCCCCTCACTGAGGTTTGAGGAGTGTGCTCCTCTGGTCTGAGCACTCCCTTTCTCCCCCTGGCCTGTCCCCTCCTATGGCACTAGGGGGGCACAGGAAGACAGTGGCACCCCATCAGGACAGGCAGGGGGGTGGGGGAAGGCAGAGGAACCTGTTCCCATAGCCCCTGAGACAGAGCCACCAGGAGTAGGACTGAGTGGCGCTGGTGCTGGACCCATGTACTGTCCTGCCTGAACACCCTCCACCTGGTCTCCTTGGCCAGCTCCAGCCCCCCCTGAAGAACGCGGAGGGCAGGAACCAGCCTCTGCCTGGGCATCGCCCCTGCCCCCCACGCCACGGCTGTGACCCCAGCAGGTCATCCCGGCCTCCAGCACCAGCTTCCTTGGAGATTCAAGGAGGTGAGACAGGGGCCCTTCAGGCCATCACCATCACCCAGGGCCTATGCTTCTGGTGCTGGCAAGGCACCTCCATCTGTGTGTGTGTGTGTGTGTGTGTGTGTGTGTGTGTGTGTGTAGGCAGGGGGGTCACTGGTCGTGTGAACTGGGGACAAGTCACCAACCCCAGCTGTGCCTCAGTTTCCAGAAGTCAAGGCTACCCCTCTCTTCCTCCCCTCCCCCCAGCCCTGGCCGGGCAGGAAGGGTGACAGTGTCTGATCACGAGGTCCTTAGAGCTGTGTCACAGGGCAGCAGCCAGCAGGCAGGCATGGCTGGCATCAGACAGAAACTGGCTGTCCACCCCCATTCCTCTGTCCCCATTGGGGGGGGGGATATGGGGAGCCTCCCCCGGATCAGGGAGCAGCCGAGAACAGAAGTCTTCCCTCATCTCCAGGTGGCACTCAAATCCCATTCCCGGACCCCTGGGGCCCCTGGAATGCAGCTGCTGCCAGTCCTGGGGCCCTGGCATCGCAGCCACACCTCTGCTGGGGCTGCCCACCCAGGACTGTGCTTTGGGGCCTGGGCATGGGAGGAGGAGCACACGGCACCTGGCCCCTACCGCAGCCTGGGCATCGTGTCCTAGAGAGGCAGGAGCCAGGGGCACCCTCCGCTTACCTGGGGTCAGGTCCCCCGTGGCGCTTAAGACCAGGCTGCCCAAGGCAAGCAGCACGCAGGCCGGCTGCATCGCTTCGGGGAAGGCAGTGCCGGCTGTGGGCCCCGGGGGCGGTGCTGGGGCGCATGGTGGGAGCCCCTGCAAACTGCCCCGCCCAGAGGGGCTGCCTGCCTTGTTACTGGCAGGGGCGGTAGTTTCTTGCTAAATCATTTGACCAGAAGCTCTTCATCTCCCCATCTATCGGCTGCACTGTCAACCACTTCCTTTATTCAAGTTTCCAGGGTGCGATGATTCTTTTTTGCAAGGGGAGGAGGAAGAGAAATGAGACCTGCGAACAAGCCACCTCTATCTTCTACCCTCTGAGACATGGCCTTAAAAAAAATGAGCAGGGGTTTTCCAGAGGCAGAATCACTTGGATTTCCTTCTGCACACCATACTTCTCAGGTCCAAGACTGCCCTTTTCTGAGGTTCTGAGCGGCCCCTGCAGACTGCCTGCCTGCTGGCTGAGTGGACAGCCCCTGCCCAGAAGTGGGCAGGCCTGCGTGCGGGAAGCAGCTGTCAAGGGCAGTGTCAGGGGATGGATGTGGTCAGGTGCAGGCTGCCTCTGGTGACGTCTGTGCTGGAAGCGGGAGAGGAGCAGGGTTTGCTGGCTGATGGGTCACGGCCTGGCTTCGGCTCAGAGCTGGCGAAGGAGGAGACAGAACAGGGTGGCCCACAGGTTCTAGCCCCGGCAGGGTGCCCGATTACCTCCCAGCTCTGCAGTTAGGACTGAGGCTCTGGAGCCAACAGCCCGAGTTTGTTTAAATCCAGCTTTGAATGTTAAGCCAGGTGGCCTTAGGGGTGGGGAAGCCCCAATGCTTCAGCTCCCTCTGATGGGTTGTGGTGAGGACGTAGGGCTTTGTCAATGCTAATGCTTGGGGCCTGGATGGTGCCAGCTGTATGGGCAGTTCATGGGCAATGCAGGAGGTGCCTGAGCCTCAGTGCTCCCAGAGCCACCTGGACAGTGCGTGCAACACATTCCCCGGGGAAGGGGGTGGTTGGACGGGCAGACTGTCTGAACCAGAACTTTCATGTTAACACTATCTAGGGCTGAGGTTGGCAAACTGTGGATCACGAGCCACATGTGGCTCTTTGGCCCCTTGAGTGTGGCTCTTTCACAAAATACCACAGTCTGGGAGAGTCTATTTTGAAGAAGTGGTATTAGAAGAAGTTTAAGTTTAAAAAATTTGGCTCTCAAAAAAAAAAAAAATTTTCAATCATTGTACTGTTGACATTTGGCTCTGTTGACTAATGAGTTTGCCAACCACTGATCTAGGGGAAGATCTGCCCCCGATGGATCCAATGGGTTTCGTTGGATTCCAGGCAGGGATCTGGGTTTGTGTGACTCGGGCAAGCTGTGTAACGTGCTGGAGTCCCCCAGGTTCCTGGCTGCCCTGAGGACTGTTATCAGTAAAGCATGGTTAGCACAGTATGTGGTGTGTGGTGACATTTGGTAATCCATGGTGGCTGAGGCAGCCGGTGTGCTCTGCTGGGCCTGCTCTGTCAGTGCTGGCCGCTCACCCTCTGGCTGTCAGCAGCTATGCATGAGGCCTCCTTGCCAAGCTCTGTGCCCTGATCACATGTGCCATGTCTGGGATTCGTTCCAGCAGGGGACTGGGCTGGAGGAGAGGAAAGTGCACATGACTGGTGTTTGCCCAACTCGGTGGCAGTTTGGCCCGTAGGGCTCTCTGTTGGTGCTGTGGGCTGTTTTTGCTTTCTGAGTATTGGGCAAGGCTCAGGGCAGTTTGGGACTTTCCTTGGCCACTGTCTTCCCCGGCTGTGGCTCTTTGGTTTGTGAATGTGGGGAACAGCCCTCCACGTCTCTAGCCCTGCCCCTCTCACACTGGGAAACAACGGTACAGGGAGGCCCTCATTCTGTCACAGAATGCATGGCAGGAAGGAGCAGATGTCACATGGCATGGTTAGAGGGTCCTCCAAGGAAAGTGTGTGTGTGTGTGTGTGTGTGTGTATAATGTCATATATGTAGATGTGTGTGTGTCTGTTTGCATCTCTGTGTGTATGCCTGTGTGTCCAGGAGTCTATCTTTGTTTCAATCTTGATATGGTTTGAAAGTGAATGTGTGTGTTTTCCTGAGTGTGTACAAATGAGTGTGTATGTGCTCATGTGCACGGGTGTGTATTTGTGTGGGCATGTTGTAATGGTCAATTCTATATGTCAGCTGGACTGGGCCACGAATGTGCTCAGATGTTTGGTTAAATGTGATTCTGGGTGTGTCTGCGAGCATGTTCCTGGAGGAAACTGACATTTGAAACCCTGTGATGAGTAAAGCGATTGCCCTTCCATTGTGGGGGGATTCACCCAGTCAGCTGAAGGCTTGAGTCAAATTAAAGGCCAACTAAGAAAGACTTCTCCGTCTGCCGTCTTCAAGCCAGGACATCGTCTTCTGCTTTCAGACTCAGACTCAGACTCACATGGAACTGACACCAGACTGGAACTGGCTCCACTTCTCAGGCCTTGGGACTCAAGCTGGGACCATGCTATTGGCTTTCCTGGTCAGACCTTTCAGCCTCCACAGTTGTGGGAGGCAGTTTTTTATAGTAAATCTCTTAACACACCCACACATACCCAATTGGCTCAGTTTCTCTGAGAATCCTGACTGATACATTTGTGCACATGTATCTCTGCCTATATGGATGTCTATGTATGTGAGTGTATATTTGTGTATCTGTGTCTCTTTGCTTGCATGTTGTATGTTCATGTGTCTGTGTAATCCTATGAATCTGGTTGAAAAGCATTATATTTGTATCTCTGCATGTGAGCATGTGCGTGCACACATGTGCAGGTGTGTGATTGTGTGTATGTATGCTATATGCACTATTTCTATTCTATCCAAGGCATGCCTAAAGTGCTGTGGAGGTGATGGGCTCAATACTGAGTCTCATTCATTCATTCATTCATTCATTCCTTATCCATCCTTTAACCCTTTTCTACTGGAAGTAGAGTCAGCATTTCCTGAAAATGCAGATTCTCAAGCCTCGCCACATCTTATGAACCAGACTCTCTGTGAGCGGGGCCCAGGAATGTGCTCATAAGCTCTCCGGGAGAACTTTTGGCCTCTGAGGTTTAGGAGGCACTGACTGAATCCCTTCTGTTGCCCCTCCTGTCCTCCTTTCTTGTGGATATGCTCAATGTCCTCCTGGCCTCCATGCTGTGCCCACTGCTGGCTTTGGCCAGTTGTCATCCCACGATGTGGAGAACATGGCTTGGCCCACTAACTGGTCTTACAGCAGGGCTCCTACACGAGATTCCTAGTCCCCAGGGTGTGAATGGATGCTGGAGGGACACAAGGTGGGTGAGGGAAGCCTGTGGCTGAGTGAGGTCAAGGAGTATGCACGCTCTTCTTCCCCAGTGGATGTAAGCACCCTCTCAGACCCGTCCCTCTGCTGGTTGGGAAACCATTGACTGTGGTTTTGCCAGAACTTCCAGAGCCAGGACTTCTAAGGCCCAACCCACATAGCTGGGAGCCTCCTGTCTCTGGCTGGGTGAGCAGGAAGTGCTGTCTGTCTAATTTGAGCAGTTAACACAATTATAGACCTTGGTGGTGAGAGGGGGTTTGGGTCCCCTGGTCCCCAGCCTGGGTCACCTGGGAGCTCTTCCTCGCCTCCTCTTGGGGTGAAAGGAGGCAGGTGCAATTTACGTGGCAGGGAGTCTCTTCTGAGCTTCTCCTTCCTGCCATCTTATTTATTTATTTACTTATTTATTTATTTATTTATTTATTTATTTATTTATTTATTTTAGCTCGTGGGACATAGCTGGAGGCTACACAGTTGATTCAACGGTTAAATTTCACTCCAGAGAGAACATCTTGGTACAGACACGTTGCTGTGTGAACTTCCAGGCAGGCCCTGCTCTCAGGATACCTGTCTTGTTGCTTCCATCATGGATCTCTTTTGCATTGAAAGGAAAAATCCAATGAAGTGTATTGTTATTGGATGAGTTATCAATTGCTGCATAACAAACGACCACAAAGTGAGCAGCTTAAAACAGCACACATCTTTTAGCTCACAATAACTGTTGGTCACGATCTGGGCACAGCTGAGCCGGGTTCTCTGCTTCAGGCCTCACCACACTGCAATCCAGGTGCATTTGAAGGCTGAACTGGGAAATGATCCCTTTTCAAGTTCAAGTGTCTGTGGGAAGCCACCAATGTGGCCATGCACTTCCTTAAAGCCAGCCAAAGGACAGTGCCACGGGCCTGCAAATAAGAGGGCAGGCATTAGGAAGGTAACCTTAGAATATGGCTGCCACACTTACCAACACTAATACAAACAGGCATCAACTCTCCCCACTGAGGATGCCTGCAAAAAATTACCCAGGAGGTGGCAGTGAGCACCTTTAGGTGCGCCTTCTCACTAGAAGGAGCCAAAGCTACTTGGAGAAACTGGTTCCAGGCCAGGACGGGAAATGCACAAGGTGAGCCTGGAACATCTGGTCTACCCAGAGATCAGGGAAGCCATTGAAGATCATCAAGGTCATGTCAAAAGAACTCTCAACAAACAACAAGTGTTCCTGAGGATGTGGAGAAAAGGTAACCCTCGTGCACTGTTGGTGAGAATGCAGATTGGTGCATCTATTATGGAAAACATTATGGACAGCCCTAAAAAAATTAAATATGACCTGGCAATTTCACTTCTGGGTATGTATCTGAAGAACCCAAACACTAATTAAAAAACCATATGCACCTCAGGTGCATGTCGATCATCTTAGCATACACAAGGAAACAGTAGCAGAAAATCACTAATCTTAAATCAATCAATCAAGAAACAAAAACAAATACAACTCTTGAAATAAAAAATGAAAAAAAAGTGCCATTGCAGCATTATTTACAGTAGCCAAGATAGGGAAGCAACCCAAGTGCCCATCAATAGATAAGTGGATAAAGAAAACTGGTCCATATATACAATGAAATGTAACTCGGCAATAGAAAAGAATATCTTACCATCTGCGATGGTATGGATGGACCTAGAGGGTAAAAGAACATGGAAGTTGACTTGAAGAGGCTCCCACTGGCC